CAACAATTTCCAGTAGATATGGGAGCCACTTTGCTTGCTTGATGAGAGACATAAGCCCTCAGATTCAAGAGTCAGTACCACAACCCATGATAAAACACACACACACACACACACACACACACACACACACACACACACAAAAAAAAAAAAAAAACCCAAATGATCCACCACTTTGATACATCATAGTTTATATAACACTAAACTCAAATGAGAATTTTTCAGAGTCACCAGGGGTGAAAAGGTCATGTACAAAGCAGTGTTTGTATATAACTTTCTTCCCAAAACTGAACCATCATCCAGGAGCAAGGAACAATTAAAAGATGCAACCCAGCTGCAGCTGAATGCTCACCAAGACCATCCCTGGAGGAAGCCTAGACTCCCAGAAGAAGGAAGTTTAGTTAAATCTGTGAGCAAGCCTCAGTGTTCACACCACTAGCAATGTGAACAACTACTGCAGAGGACTATAAAAAGGCAAAACTAAAATACTGGGCAACACCAGCCTAGGGGTGTGTATCGTTGGGGGCAGGTGGTGTGATAGTACCTAGAACACACCCAGGTTTCATGAGGCTCAGGAGATGGGTCCACATGATCTAGTGATCAGTAAAGCATTTAAAATTTAATCCTCTGGGGTCATAGAAATTTGCATACAGGCCGGCTCTCAGCCTGGAGTGGAGGGCATGCAGAAAGCACCTCTGTCACTGACAGCTTTGTGAACTCCTGGGATTCAGGGCTGCTGCTTGACACACAATGGCAGATGTACAACATTGGTGAAAACAATCAAGCCCCACCCAAGGCAGGATCTCTGCATATAATGCATCCACGCTATCACTGAGAAATGGCTGTCAGTGTGTTAGATGTCCACTAAGCCCACAAGTGAGTGCTCAGGATTTCTATGGGCAGTAGTAGTCAGGTCACCAGTGTCGGGCTTCTCCATCATCTAAGGCCCTGGGCCTTGTTCTGCACTTCCTCCTCAGACCTGGATATCAATCCCTTTTGAATACTAGTAAGTTGAATGGCATGTGGCTTGAGTCCTCCAAGAGAGAGAGGCCTAGATGGTCCCCTGTGCCCTCTATAAGCTGTTGGTATTACCTCCATCTTCACTGAAAGCACAAGATCATGGCAAGAGTGGTGGACCTTCTGGGGAGGAGTAGACTCCTGGCTGCTTTTCACAGTGCTTCTCTATAAGGAACACATACCCAATTTTCACTGCAGGGAAGGCTGGACCCTGATACTACCATCAAGAGACACCTTCCCTTATCTGCTTCTACCAGTCCAAGTCCACCAAACCTGCAAATATCTCATAGGTGACCTAGAAGTGTTTTCTTAGGATACATGCATGTCTTTGGGAGATCTCTGAATGATTCTGGGCCTCTGTCCAGTCACCTTTACCTTTGAACAGCACTGCATCCCACTTCTATCTTTAGCATACAGTGAAGGACTGTGTGCAGATGGTTTTTTGCACACCATGAACAGGTGTGTGTCCTATGCTAGGACAAGATGATGGCTTCCTAGTTCTCACACACTGATGAGGTCCAAGTCCGGTTTTGGCCTGGCACTAGAAGTCAGTGTGACTGCTTAGGCTTTGCTTCATGGGAGCAGACACTCTGGGGCTTTCCCAGTGATGATATCCCTCCCCCACTGGGATTAGCACCCCGTCTCCATGCCAGAGTGCTTAAGATTCCCAAGAGCCTCTTAAATAAGGAGACTTCAGTATATCAGGTAACCTGTGGGGTAGGGGTTACCCCAGGTCCTTAGAGGGGCCAGACTAGTAGCTCAGTCTCCAAAATCTGGTGGCTCTGGACTAGGCTGACTTATCTCATTAATAGAAAGAGATGGTGCGGTGTGGGAGCATTCCACAAGCAGTGCTGCTTTCTCCGCTCGTGTACCTCATTAACATGCCACAGACATCACTTCGGACTTCATAACACTAAGCAGGCTGAATGGACGGCAGGGACACTGCTGCCCCGTATTCAGAAAACATCGAGTGATGCTTCTCCTGGGCAGGCACAGGGCTGCATCCCTGCCGCCTCTGCTCACGCCCAACCTGCCCATTAGCATTAGCAGAAAGCCCCTATTTGCATTGAGACAATGGTCCTACCCCTGAAGCAGAGCTGCAGGGGCACTGGGCATTTGTTGGCACAATTGCCCTTTGTGCCCGCTCCAGTGGGCAGGCGGGGAGTATGTCCCAGGGGCTCATGGAGATGTGGCCAGCCCTGAGCCAAATCCCCATGCCATCTGATGAGGACGCAGCAGCTTGGCGCTTAGTAGAGTGGGGCCCAGACTGGGTCCTGACAGACGGGATGCCTAGGGTAGCCTTCAGGAGCATAGAACAGCCACAGCCCCTTTCTTGAGCACTTCCCACCCTCCTGCCAAGATGTATTGGTGGGAACAATGACACAGGACACAGGTCAGCTGCCCTCAGACAAGCTGAACTTGGTAGGCTAGGGCCCTGACACCTGTGAGAAGGATGAGGAACAATGTTGTTGGTCACCCTTTGCTATGCCTGAAACTATCCTTACAACTGCCAACAAGCTGGAAGTTTCTGGAACATTCTTAGTCCCAAAACATTCTGGCAGGTGCCAGGCATTGGGAAGAAATCTGAGAAGGGAGGCACTGACCTAAATGAGCGCACAGCAGAGGGACAGAGTCTTGACACAGGAGATGGTGCTGCACACACTTTGTTGGTCTGCACCCTTAGTTCCCATCCTACCACAGTGCAATGTCAGTGCCTGTTTCCTGCCAGGCACAAGACCTGACCACATGGCACACGAGGCTGGGTATGATTGTTGGCAGCCCAGATACTGAAACTAGATGTCCATTCCTCAACAAGACACTCAAATGAAGCCTCCCCTTGGAGCCTGGGACTCATTGAAGGTAAGCAGGAACAATTCTGAACTAGAGGCAAAATTCTGATTTGCAGAAACTGGGACCACAGGAGCCAGCACTAGGCCCTGAGTTGCCTATCATTGCTGGAGTGAGCAAGTAGTCAAGGGGGAAGTGAGCTGAAAGTCCATTCCTTTGGCTCAACCTTCTACCTCCCCATCTGTAAGAGGCTTCTCCTGACCTCAAGTGCCATGGCCCAACCAACTATCATTTCTTTGTGCTTTTAGTCAGATGTTCCCTCCACCTAAGGACTGAATCTTGGGCAGGGACTTTAGGAATATTTGCAAGGTCTCTCCTCCCTGTCTTTTGGGAAGTGGTTCCACGACTCCCCCAATTCATGGATATTCAAGTCCCTTAGATAAAATAGGAAAACATTTGCCTAGAACTTTCTTGCACATCCTCATGACATCTCCAGAATCTTTAGAAGAGCAACTGCCATGTAATAGTCTGCCAATTGATTGAGTTAGAGGATGCAGAACCTGTGTGGACACTGGGATGTTTGGACCATTTGCTTCAGTAAATAGTCCTAAGAGGAAGCAGCCAGCAGGACAGTTTAAGGGGTTTCCCATAGATGCTGAGCAAAAAGCATGTAGTGAGTTGAGCCACATCCTGGTCCTACTGACAGATCACTATCTCAACACCCACACTGTCTCAGAAGAATAAAAAGACCAGAACCGGGCCGGGCGGTGGTGGCGCACGCCTTTAATCCCAGCACTCGGGAGGCAGAGGCAGGCGGATCTCTGTGAGTTCGAGGCCAGCCTGGGCTACCAAGTGAGTTCCAGGAAAGGCGCAAAGCTACACAGAGAAACCCTGCCTCGAAAAACAAAAACAACAACAACAAAAAAAAAAAAAAGACCAGAACCATTCAAATTAAGTTATAGACCATTGCTAGAGAATTCAGTCATACACCCTGAGCTGGGCACTGAAATTTCTTTTTTCAGAGAGATATGAGAGCTACAGGAAGGAGAGGGTCCCTTCTACAGCCACCTATGCTGTCTCCTAAGGGTTATGCTGCAAAGTCAGAATGTCCACTTTGTATTTGGGGTCAGGAATGTGAGCGTTCTAGACCCATACAGCCCTGTCTCATGGGAAAGTGCTTGCCAGTATGTCATAATAATGGAAACAGCACACGTACCTCTGGAGAAGTCTCTCTGGTCAATGGATACCTTGTGCTCCTACTGTGGTCCTTTGATAAAGGGGTCTCCAGACCAAAGGAAGGATGTGTCAAGAGTACCCACAGCCTATCTGCCCTATAGCTGGTGACCCAGAGGCACATCTGGAGGCATGCCATATTCCCACTATGTAGCCTGGAAAATAGGCCTGACCTCTCCAAGTTCCCTTCTCACATGTGTATTACAGAGCCTCGCTATGGCTTAACAGAGGCAAAACTTGAACTGGGACCCAAGCATCCAAATTTTGGACAGGCCTGCAGTCTTATCACCAGGTTCCATGAACCTGGCCTCATCCAGGCCCCACAGAAGAATGAATATAGATCAGTTCTGGTGACACTAGATATAGACTTAGGGCTGCATAAGAAATGTTTGTCCATCAAGGCACTAAAACCAATTCCATATGTCCCCATGATTTCACCAGCCAGTCACTGGCCCTCTAGGGCCTGCAGAGGCCTCATGTCTACCACCCTCACCTTTGGACTTCCCTGTCAGAGGGCAAATCTCCAAGAGGTCACCCCAGCCATTTTTCAAACACAGAACTTGGGTGCTGAAAGAGAGAAGCCCAGTGAACAGGACATATATGTCACCTTCCCTTTTGTGGCCAGAACAGGCCTTGCTGACCCCCAACATTCGAAGGCAGCTGTAGGTATCCTCTCAACAGACTGTGTAGTGAGTACCTCCTTGGGAAAGACAAGGGGAACATGGCATCAAAGCTTCTAGAAGCTTCCAGGTCTACTCTGCCTTCCATCCTCCTGGAGCAGAGACCTCAAGCTATGCTTAGGATTCCATGGTAGACAGTGACTGTGTATATGCTATAGGACCTTATGGACAGAATTCCAGGAGAGAACTAAGGGTGGGTGGCATGGAAGCTCCCCAAGCCAGATTGACGCTGCTACAGGGTCAGCACTGAGTGCCCTGCCCCTACATACATGGGAGCTTGCTTACCTGAGCTGTCATAGCCATCAATGGAGAAATGGTCTGGCTTCCGATCCTCTGGGGGATCATATGTGATGTGAGGGACAGTGAACATTTTCTCTCCAGGACTCATCCCATTATCCTTGTCCAACTTGAACTTCTTCTTCTTTACCTAAAATGTCCACATGATGAGTGGCACTTCCTGAGCACCATCTGCCAGACTGTCAACCAGTCCCAGAGCACCTGTAGAGTCCTGAGTTCAGCCTTGAAATATGTACCCTTGAGGGAACTTGGGTCAGGGGCTGAGCTCTAGTACCCTCAGACATTGGTGGAGTGAGGCTTCAGTGTGCTGATGCTGCTGGAGGGTTCAGGGTGTTGCTTGGCCCCTTGTGGCCCTCTATGAGCCATGGCCTAAGAAAGTTAGGCAGACAAAACCCAATCAACAAAACAAAACAACAGTATAAATATAAATATGCAAGCTCGCACCAGGACAGTATGGCTGAAGGCCAAGGCAGCAGACTATGGTAGGAGATACCCTGTGAGCACTGGAGCATCTTTAAAGAGGACTCCTGGAGAAAGTGAGGGAGTAGGTTGTGTGAAGCCAGGGAGAGCATTCCAGACAGAGGGAAGAGCAAGTTTAAGCATCCAGTGACAGTTGGAAGCTGGGAAGGTTGTCTCTTCAAGGAAAGTGAGGGTGATGACCAGGAAAGAGAAGAGCCCCATTGCTCCAGGTAGATGGCAGGACTCCTGCCCACAGCTGCTGGAACTTGCCTCCTCTGTGGTTTAGAGCTCCTATACCTTCCCCTTCTGCCTGCTGTACCCAACAAGGAAAACCAGCACCAGGGTCCCCTCAAGAGCTTTGTTCCAGTAACTGATGGATCCAGCCCATCCAATTCCAGAAGCACTCTCTTAAGACCTATCCTGGTGTTGGCATGGTCAGTCCAATATGGCTCTAAGGGTGGGGGACATAAGGACAGCAGGGATCAGGTCAGACTTCCTTTGACCTCAGAATGATGGTGGCATCTTGATGAGCACTACCCTGAATAGCAATACCGGGGTCTCATGCTCAGCCTCTCCAGTTTCGTGAGCTGCTAATACACAATCCCCATTCTAGTGGCTGGTAAGGCTGCTTACCATGACAGACTTCTTAGGCTTGGGGCTGGGGGACAGCAGAGTGTGACTCCGGGCAGGCTTCCGGACATAGATCTTCCAGGTGGATGAGTCAGGGTTCTCAGCAGCATAGCACCTCCATGCAGTCTGATATTAGGCAGAGGGGAAAGAAGGGAGGGGTCATTGATCTAGCCACTCATTGGTACCACTTGGAAAATCTTCAGCTCCTCCTGGAGTCCCAGGCCCAACTTGTCTCCAGGCTCCTTCCCTGACAGCAGGACTTGGCCTTCTAGGCTAAGAAGGGGACTGCCTCATGCATCAACTATCTATCAGTCATAGCTCAGATACTAAACAAGACCTTTGCCTGTTACGAGAGCCCCTCCTGAAGAGTGACCTTGAACAGGCCTCATATATATTAACTAAGGCAGAGTTAGATAACCAGAGTTTCCCCAGAGAAGGATAGTGGAAAGGGGCTGCCCAGGCCTGTGTGAGCACCAGCAGGGTGTGGAGTAGAGCCCCAGGGACCAGCAGGAGGTGAGGCCTCCCAGGGGCTTCAGGTGCTAGCTTGTGGCTATGAGGAGTTTTTGATGACTACAATTGAAACTCTTGGCCAACATTCTAGAGGGACTACCCCTCCCCATAGTCATCACAGCAAGATGACCTAGAGGGGCCTGAGGGAGCCAAGGGAATAAGAGGAGGAAGGAACAGATGCCAGAGCCTCTTATGGTGGCTTTGTCACTACAGGCCCTATGAGCATAAGAAAGTAAAACTGGTTGAAAGTTCTCCATGCTGGCAAGGTTTCTAGGTGACAGCCCCCACTCTATGACAGGAATCTAGCACAGACACAAAACCTAGGCAGGGGTACCTATGACCTGGGACAGTTTAGAGGCCCTTCCAAAGGCTGTATGTCCCATGCACACCTATGTGGGCAGCTCCACTTGATCTAGAGGGGTTCACACAGTGATCATAACCATTACACTGGTTAGAGGGTTATGTCCACATCCAGGCTATATTGGCTCATGCAGGACATCCATGTTCTGGATAAATGAAAACACACAGGACCTGTTTGCAATGGGGTTCTCTGCCATTGAAGGGCAGTCCAGCTCTCTGGAGTGCTCCTAAGGGAGTACATAGCAAAACCCGCCATCTCCTCAGCTACCTTTAGAACCTTCTTGCCCTCTTGCTCTCAGGCTCTGCAGTCCCTAACTTCCAGCCTTCTGAGAAGTAGCCTGTGCTGTCTGACTGTTGAACCTACTACTCTCACCAGTCACCACTGGTCCTAAGAGATGCCAGGCCTCCCAGAGGCATTGCCACTATACAGGCTGGGTCCTGTCCCACTGGGCCTCCTCTCTGTCTCTGTCTCTGCCTCCCTCCCTCCCTACCCCTCCCTTCCTCCCACTCTCTCTCTCCCTCTTACTCTCTCTCCCTCTTACTCTCTCTCTCTCT